CGACCCGTGGGGCACTCCACTTGAAACCGGCTGCCAACTAGACATGGAGCCATTGATCACTACCCGTTGAGCCCGACAATCTAGCCAACTTTCTACCCACCTTACAGTGCATTCATCCAGCCCATACTTCTTTAACTTGCTGACAAGAATATTGTGGGAGACCATGTCAAAAGCTTTGCTGAAGTCAAGAAACAATACATCCACTGCTTTCCCTTCATCCACAGAACCAGAAGGTGATTAGATTAGATTAGATTTCCCTTCATCCAATCATCATAGAAGGTGATTAGATTAGTCAGGCATGACCTTCCCTTGGTGAATCCATGCTGACTGTTCCTGATCACTTTCCTCTCGTGTAAGTGCTTCAGGATTGATTCCTTGAGGACCTGCTCCATGATTTTTCCAGGGACTGAGGTGAGGCTGACTAGCCTGTAGTTCCCAGGATCCTCCTTCTTCCCTTTTTTAAAGATGGGCACTACATTAGCCTTTTTCCAGTCGTCCGGGACTTCCCCCGATCGCCACGAGTTTTCAAAGATAATGGCCAATGGCTCTGCAATCACAGCCGCCAACTCCTTTAGCACTCTCGGATGCAATGCATCCGGCCCCATGGACTTGAGCACGTCCAGCTTTTCTAAATACTCCCTAACCACTTCTTTCTCCACAGAGGGCTGGCCACCTACTCCCCATGCTGTGTTGCCCAGCGCAGCAGTCTGGGAGCTGACCTTGTTCGTGAAGACAGAGGCAAAAAAAGCATTGAGTACATTAGCTTTTTCCACATCCTCTGTCACTAAGTTGCCTCCCTCATTCAGTAAGGGTCCCGCACTATCCTTGACTTTCTTCTTGTTGCTAACATACCTGAAGAAACCCTTCTTGTTACTCTTAACATCTCTTGCTAGCTGCAACTCCAGGTGCCATTTGGCCCTCTTGACTTCATTCCTACATGCCCGAGCAATATTTTTATATTCTTTCCTGGTCATTTGTCCAATCTTCCACTTCTTGTAAGCTTCTTTTTTATGTTTAAGATCTGCAAGGATTTCACCGTTAAGCCAAGCTGGTCGCCTGCCATATTTACTATTCTTTTGACATATCGGGATGACACATCGGGATGGTTTGTCCCTGTAACCTCAATAGGGATTCCTTGAAATACAGCCAGCTCTCCTGGACTCCTTTCCCCCTCATGTTATTCCCCCAGGTGATCCTACCCATCAGTTCCCTGAGGGAGTCGAAGTCTGCTTTCCTGAAGTCCAGGGTCCGTATTCTGCTGCTTACCTTTCTTCCCTGTGTCAGGATCCTGAACTCAACCGACTCATGGTCACTGCCTCCCAGATTCCCATCCACTTTTGCTTCCCCTACTAATTCTTCCCAGTTTGTAAGAAGCAGGTCAAGAAAAGCTCTCCCCCTAGTTGGCTCCTCCAGCACTTGCACCAGGAAATTGTCCCCTACATTTTCCAAAAACTTCCTGGATTGTCTGTGCACCGCTGTAGTGCTCTCCCAGCAGATATCAGGATGATTAAAGTCGCCCATGAGAACCAGGGCATGCGATCTAGTAGCTTCTGCGAGTTGCCGGAAGAAAGCCTCATCCACCTCATCCCCCTGGTCCGGTGTTCTATAGCAGACTCCCACCACGACATCACCCTTGTTGCTCACACTTCTAAACTTAATCCAGAGACACTCAGGTTTTTCTGCAGTTTCATACCGGATCTCCGAGCAGTCATACTGCTCCCTTACATACAATGCTACTCCCCCACCTTTTCTGCCCTGCCTGTCCTTCCTGAATAGTTTGTAACCATCCATGACAGTACTCCAGTCATGTGAGTTATCCCTCCAAGTCTCTGTTATTCTCTGTTGTTGTTTACCCCTGCAAGGGCCCATACCACAAAACAGACGCAGACATCAGTGATGTACTGGATTTGGACCAATGACATGGTGGTAGAAAGTTCCATATACCACTGGCACACCTTTGAGCCATCCAGCTCCACCACGTTTCTTGTTTTAAGATACTTTGCTAGAGCCAAACTATCATCAGGGAAATTGCCTCTTGTTATTGCTGAAACTATGCTTTAGGTGAAAAAAGTTTCAGTGTACATCCACTTTTATTTTTCAATGTATTAACAAAAAAGTTAATGTATCCATTTTAACACTTCAAGTTAGGGGAGCAGGGGAATACAAAATGAATATAAAAGTACCAAAAGTATTCTTTAGTCAGAATATTATTTCAGTTACACAAGCCTGTGCCTGATAACATACAGTACCATAAAAATTACACAAAAATGGGTTAGCATTGGCCAACACTGATTACAGCTATTTTAGATTGTCCTCTTACTTCCGTAAATCCAGTCATAATAGCTCCTTTGATTTGAAATGATGGGGGCATATGTTGGTTTTTTTAACCTATTTATCACAAATATAAAGTACTGTTCCACACTAAAGGACTACTCTCATAGTAAGCTCTCATAGTAAACTGAAATTTCCATGGATTTACACCAGTGTAACTAAGGACAGAATTTTCCCCTTTGTCTATAACAGGGTGGGCAAACTACAGCCCACGGTCCGGATTCAGCCCACCAGCTGTTTTAATTAATCCGGCCCTTGAGCTCCTACTGGGGAGCGGGGTCTGGGGCTTGCCCCGCCCAACCAGGGAGCAGGGTCGGGGCCATTCCATGCAGCTCCTGGAAACAGCAGCATGGCCCCGCTCCGGCTCCTATGTGTAGAGGCAGCCAAGGGGCTCCACTCTGCACACTGCCCCCGCCCCAAGCGCCGCCCCCGCTGCTCCCATTGGCTGGGAACTGCGACCAAAGGGAGCTGCAGGGGAGGCACCTGAGGATGGGGCAGCGTGCAGAGCCACCTGGCCGCAGCTCCGCTTAGGAACCGGAGAGGGGGACATGGCCGCTGCTTCCGGGAGCCACTTGAGGTAAGTGCCACCTGGAGCCTGCACCCCTGAGCCTCAGCCCATGCCCCAACCCCCTGCCCCAGCCCTGATCTCCCTCCTGCCCTCCAAACCCCCCAATCCCAGCCTGGAGCACCCTCCTGCACCCCAAAACCCTCATCCTCAGCCCCACCCCAGAGCCTGCACCCCCAGCCAGTGCCCACCCCCCACACCTGACTCCCCCGCCCCAGCCCGGAGCCCCCTCACACACTCTGAACTCCTCATTTCTGGTCCCACCCCAGAGCCTGCACCCCCAACCAGAGCCCTCACCCACTCCTGCACCCCAACCCCAATTTTGTGAGCATTCATGGCCCGCCATATAATTTCTATTCCCAGATGTGGCCCTCGGGCCAAAAAGTTTGCCCATCTATAATAATGGATGAAAACACATACCTAGCATGGCACACCTAATTCGTTACTTGTTGATTTGTATTATTTGAGGAATGAGACGAGGAGGAAAAATGTCATATTCATATGGAAACAATGACTCAAACTTTAAATGTATTGGGTGAGATTCTGTTCCCATTAACAGTGGTGTAAATCTGCATTAACTCCATTGAAACCAATCAAGTTTCTCGACAGGGAACTAACTAAAAGTAGAATGTGTACCACTGGGTCTTATTTTTTTTAAAGTTGGAAAACATATTTCATAAAAGGTTATAAAACATGGTCTCAGGAAAACTATCTGTAGGGTGTCAGACATTGCAATTTATACAAAGTAAGGACTTTCTAAAGCCCTGATACAGGCAGGTACTTAAGCACATGAGTAGTCCCATGAAGTAAATGGGACTACTCCCATACTTAAAGGCATATGTTTAAGTGCCTTCCTATACTGGGGCATTAGAGATTTTGAAAAGGTTTATTTGCCTAATTAAATACCACTTTGTGTAAGGGTGGACTACATGCATTTTGATTTGATAGCTGACCCTGATGTTTGGAAACATGCTTCTAGGGTGAAGTGGCACACACAGAGATAGTAGAGAGATAGGGGGCCTCTGTGCATTTGCTACTGGCCCTCCATTGGTCCCCTGGGATGCATGTAAATTCGGGGGGGGGACCCACAGCCTCTTCCAAGGGTTGGGTAAGAACGCACCCTCCTCATGGAACAAACATGACCATAATTGCTGACTATCTTCACAAGGGGGTTTCTTGCAGGAGGGGATAATTGAATCATAAGAACATAAGAATGGCCATACTGAGTCAGACCAAAGGTCCATCTAGTCCAGTATCCTGTCTTCTGACAGTGGCCAATGCCAGTGCCCCAGAGGGAATGAACAGAACAGGTAATCATCAACTGATCTGTCCCATCACCCATTCCCAGCTTTTTGCAAACAGAGGCTAGGGACACAATCCCTGCCCATCCTGGCTAATAGCCATTGATGGACCTATTGTGCATGAATTTATCTAGTTCTTTTCTGAACCCTGTTATAGTCTTGGCCTTCACAACATCCTCTGGCAAGGAGTTCCACAGGTTGACTCTTAATACTCAAAATACTTCCTTTTGTTTGTTTTAAACCTGCTGCCTATTAATTTAATTTGGTGGCCCCTAGTTCTTGTGTTATGACAAGGAGTAAACACTTCCTTATTTACTTTCTCCACACCAGTCATGATTTTGTAGACCTCTATCATATCCCCCCTTAGTCGTCTCTTTTCCAAGCTGAAAAGTCCCAGTCTTATTAATCTCTCCTCATACAGCAGCCGTTCCCATACCCCTAGTTTTGTTGCCCTTTTCTGAACCTTTTCCAAGTCCAATGTATCTTTTTTGAGATGAGGCAACCATATCTGCACGCAGTATTCAACCCGAAGGTTAAATCACATCTGCACGCAGTTATTCAACCCTAAGGTTAAATCACAACATTAGTTAACTCTGATTGCCAGAAAAAGATGGAATATGACAACTAATACTGGAGGACTAAGGACATGGTTGCAATATGTTCCATGCTTTTGTTTTAGTCTTGAACTATGACTTTCTTTAATGGCACACCGTTGAGATTAAAAAAAATTCCTCTGCTATGTAATTAGTAACACCTTTGATTATCAAAAATTAAAGAATTCAAGAAGGGGCATGTCACTCAGGTTGAAGAATGAAACTAAACCATTCACTTTCACAATGCATTTCCTTGTACTCTGTATACAATTTTGTAAAATGTGTGTGTTTCTTAATTAGTTATTTCTCTAACACCTCAAACTAGAAAACACTGATAACAACAACAGCATTACAGGGAAGGTGTAAGATGTGTTTTGTTTTGTTTAGTAAATAAATTATTTAGTAAATATATCATTAATAATATGTTAGTGAAATTAACACAGTAAGACAAATTCAACCCTGGTGTAAGCAGGTGCAACTCCTCAGATCTTCACAGGGGGCTGAATTTGGGTCAGTGTCTTGGTGCGTAAGGTGCTCTTTATGTAATGCTAACTATTTTGTGCTTTCACATGCGCCTTGGGGGTTTTCCCCCCTATGCTTATGCCTTTGGGCCAGAATCTTGACAATTACTTCAATGCAACCTAATGGTGAATAAGAGTGAACCCAATCGATCCAAACTATCCTATGTTTGCCCCTTTAATTCAGGCTCCTTGTTCTCTTTCCCTTCAATGGCATTTTTGGTCAACTTGGGTTATAAAATAAATGGAACATTAAGAAATTGTTTCTAACAATCTGATGGGCTATTATACCATGTGTGTGTTCATACAGACAGCAATTAAAACAGCATCACCTGTGAAAAGAAATCCAGTGACCTAGCTTTCTCCCTGCATATTTATCTCACAATGGCAATAATGACCTCGGTGCAGGGCATTTCCTGGAAATCGATGGGATTATAGATTCTTGAACATGTGCCCAGAGCTGTCAGAAGATACATTTTATACATTTGAAAAATTAAATAAAGTAAAATGAATGAGTGACTGGGGTCAGTGGGCTACTTTTCAGGTCACCAGCTCCTCACAATCCATTGTTATTAACTATTTCATTCCCGAATATTTTATAACTATGCAAAACACCCCATTTAGTGGATTGTAGAGGTCTCAATTCAACAGTCCATCTTTATTCTGCAAATCACATGCTTAATTTCAAGCATACACTTAAATCCCATTGACTTCAATGGGACATAAGCAAGTACTTAAGTTAGGCATGAGCTTAAGTGCATTGCTGAATAGGGATGGATTTATGCATGTGCTTGAATGCTTTGATGAACTGGGGCCAGAGAAAGGTGTGATCTACTGGCTTAAGAATGGGATTGAGTTTCATGAAATCCAGAGATCTTACCTTCTGATATTCTGTCTATGGCCTTGGGTAAGTCACACACAGCCAAATTGTCACAAGAGCTCTCTAATTTTCAGGTTTTAAGTGCCCAAACTGAGATGCCTTGTCCCTGATTTTCAGAGGTTTTGAGCACCTGCAGCTACCACGTGGACACTCAAAAACTGAGTCACAAAAAATGAGTGAGCACTTCTGGCAAACTTGGCCCTTCACTTTAATACAGGGGTTCTCAAACTGGGGGTTGGGATCTCTCAGGGGATCATAAGGTTATTACATGGGGGGTTGCGAGCTGTCAGCCTCCACCCCAAGCCCTGCTTTGCCTCCAGCATTTGTAATGGTGTTAAATACATTAAAAAGTGTTTTTAACGTACAATGGGGGATCGCACTCAGAGGCTTGCTGTGTGAAAGGGGTCACCAGTACAAAAGTCTGAGAACCCCTGCTTTAATGCTTCAGCAAAAATGGGAATTAACTGCTTACCCACCTACCTGCCTCTTGGGTCTAGGGGGCTGTAAAGATTAATTCATGCTTGTACAGCGCTTGGAATATGAAAAGTGCTATATAAGTGCTAAATATTGTTATTTTAAGATTTAATGAGTTAAACTCCAAGAAATACTTGGAGTGAGGTAGCTATTGCTTAAACACAAAAAGATATACTCCCTCGTAAAAATCCAACTCACAAAGCTTTTCTGTATACAAAGGATGAATCCAGTATAACGTCAATATTAAGTGGCAATACAGTATTTATATTCTCTCTCATCCTTGTTTAATCTCAGTGGCTGTACAATGCCTCTCAGTAAAAACAAAACAAGGAAAGCAAATTGTAATTCTCACTGAGAACTAAAAATCCCCAAACAAAATCTGTCCATCTTCTAAAACTATTTCTGCCATCTTTCCAGTGCTTGGCTGCCTCTACCCATTATATATGTGAGAATGATGTATCTGCTCTCTGTAGTAAAACATTTGTCCAGTGGAACAAAAGCAATGTGTAATATGGCCTCATATTTAGCATTCCCATGGTTGCACAGTCAAAAATATAATCCACCACCAAAGGTGAACAGGACAGTAATTTGGATAAAAGGGATTCTGGAAATCTGAAAACTAGGCTCAGATTTTGTGCTTTAGTTAAATCCATGGTCCAAAATAACACTGTGTATAAAGTTCCCAGTCAGTACAGCCATCAAATCTCCTCTTTTAGGGATTACATTGATAGACCCATGGGTCAGGAAAAAATCTCTACAACACCATGTATAATGCTGCATGGTTTTTGTTTGTTTGTTTTGCTTTCCTATGAAATATCAGGAATTGGTCACTGAAGGATACTTGATCTGATGGACCAGTGGTTTGGACAAGTAAGGCAAATCCTGTGTTTTTATGTGCTGTATAATGGATAAAAACATTACACAAACACATGTACAGTACCCTGAACAGTAAGTAAATACTGTTCTAAAATGTAGACGTATGTATTTAAAGACAAGTATTCAGGTATTTTCAAGTGTTCTTGACTAAAACACTGAAGTTAAGCCATTCTGAATACCCTGCTTCTTTTAAAATAATTCTTACTATACTGGATCATACTTAGTGGTTTCTTCTAGTTCAGTGCTCTTGTCAAATATTCCCTTCATCGATGCTTTGCAGCTGAAGTCTTTGGCCAGCTTGGGCTCTGCCACCACGCCGTGCACCCACATTGCCGCCTGGTACAGTGCGTGAAGGAAACAAAGATCCTGGTAAAGCATCTTCTCCAAACAAGCTGATTTTCACATCAGCTTCAATAGCTTTGGCTAAACTGGATGCATAACTGTCCAGAGACTTATGGACTTCAGCTTTTACATGGAGAACAGAATTCTTTGCAGCTTCTAAAGAAAAAAGAAATTAAGACAGAACACTTAACAATAACATACCATGGCTGTGCAAACATTTGCACAAGGCAAATATTTGAGGGCAAATATTTGTCTTCAGGACTGCAAATGTGTGATCATGTCTTCTACAAATGATTACTATTGCTACTAATAGTACTTTATGCTTCCACAGCATCTTTTGTCTAAGGATCTCAAAGCACACTATGAACACTAATCTTCACAATATCATCATGTCAGTTAGGGAAATTATCCCCAAATTACAGATGGGAAAACTAAGGACTGATGAAGCAAAGCATTTAAGCACATGCTTAACCTGATGTCAGATGGATTACCCACGTGTTTACATGGGACTACGTGCTAAATACTTTGCTGGATTGGGACCTACGCACAGAAAAGGTTATTGGCCTGATCCTGCCAAAGTGCAAAACTTCCACTTATTACATCTGGCACAGAATTAGGCCTTATGGGAATTACATGATCGTGGGAAAGAAATAAGTGACAGAGCCAGGAATAAAACTCTTGAGTCCCAGTTCTCAGCCGTTCTACTCTAACCATTAGTTTTGTACACAAGAGAATTCTCAATTTCGTTTAGACCAAAATTTCACATTTTGTTTACATAAAAAGGGGGACAACACAAGAAGTCACATAGCTCATGGTATGTTTTAAACTTGGTGAACACCAAACTTTGTATATATAGCAGAACTTCCCTGTTCTACACTTCACTGATCTGCACAAAAAACTGGTAGCCTCCCTCTACACCTCAGGAATCCATTTAGACAGCCTTGCAGAATTGCTATAAATGTCTGTGAGGCAACACACAAAAGCTACTTGGCTACCCTGTATATTTATGAGGCGAATAGTGGAAAAGTAATGATAATTGTTAAATAAAACGTCAAACCAATTCACTCTAGAGTGAGTGTGTGAATAGAATTTTGCTAAGATGATTTTCAGGAGATGCTTCAGAAAAGCTCTCATATTAATAAGACTCCATTATTTTTGGATAAATATACTACCATATGTGTGTACTGTAGAGTCTCAAATATTAATGCTAATAATAAAATCAAAGGTAATAACAAGTACATTGTGTGATGCATTGTAGCTGTTTTTATACTGTCCTCATTCACTTATGGTTTAGTAAATTCAATCACATGCAATTGGCCTCCTAGTTATTAGCCCAAATTCAAGAGGATCTGCTCAAACTAAATCAACCCTGCAGTGTTCTAAAGCCAGTCCCAGCAACATGTTGCTAGTATTGAGAACCAACATGTGAGCCTAACTAGGAAAAAAAATGAAACTGATTTGTCTAGTTTCCCTGTCCCAGCTGAGACAAATGCAAGGAGCAAACAAACAGCATAAATGGAGATAAATACATTCTTTCCCTTTAAATTCTTTAAACGAACACAGGTAATGGACAGGAGAGACAAGACAGGACGGCAGAAAAACATCAAGGTGGTGGAGTCATTGTGGGGAAGAGAGGGGAAAAAATCCAATGGGGAGTAGACAATGCAAATGGATAAAACCCCAGGAAAGGCTGTTGTCCCTGCATGAATGAGGCCCATGCAGGGAAGCCCCATTTCTGATCCTTGATCTAGACTGGAACTACCTAACAGAAGGAAGGCCTGTTATTAAGCTTGTCTATCCAGGTCAATGACTATCCCTGAATTCAAAATAGTGTACCCCCAGATCAAGGGCTACTCATATTTTGAACTGGAAACTGCTATTATCTGTTAACTCGAATGGCTTTGTCATAGCGCTGCAGGTGGGTGTGTGTGTCTGTGTGTGGTGTGTGTGTGTGAATGCCTGGCCCCAGAGCATGCTAGTGCTTCACAGGGGAAGCGTGGGGTAAGGTCATCACTGGGGTAAGGTCATTCAAGGACCTTACACCAATGGAGGATGGGTTGTACCTCTGTTCCATTCCACCACGCCTCCTCCCCATCTCTATTCTACCCCGACATCCTCTCCATCCCTTTATTCTGAGAACATAAGGGGTGGCAGAGCTGGCTGCCTTTACCAGCTTTCTGCAAACGATGAGTTCTCCAGCACAGGGGAAATTCTCCACCGACTATCTCCAGGCGGTTGAAGGCTTATGCAGCACAAAAGTGGCCTTAGCTCTGCAGAGAATCCAGGCCCATGTTTGACATGCTGTACTCCTTGTGTAGGCCTTTGGTTTTAATTAACAAAGATAACATAGGCTCTAGCAGAAATATGTTATGCACCACTTTGGCTTGCTGTGTTGGATCATATTAAAGAAGTTCTGTATTAAAATCACAAATGAGTTTGATTCCCCAGAGTTTAAATTCCAGGGTATTACTAATTAAGAGGTCTCTTGGTTTTTGGTACTGTTTCTCTCCCTCTGTGCATGAAACTTGCAAGCTGCTAATTGCGTTAGTACATTCTAAGACAGAGTCTGTTCTCAAAGCAATTCTTTGTAACAACAACTACTCACACAGAGAGAGACTCAAAGCAATACTCTGTAACAACAGAAACAGCACCCAGAGACTCCCCGCCCTTTTATTGTATTCATCTCGCTTTGTTAACAATTGTGATTAAAATAGAGATAGAGGATGTATGTGGATGGATGCTTGGTGTGGATAATAACTGAATGAGCAGGGAGGTGCCAGCCTAAGAATCCAGTGTCCATTGGCTGAAGAAGGCATCAAGTGGAAATAACCAGAGGACCCCCGGAGGGCAGACTGGAATCCACCCAACAGCCTCAAGGATGGGAGAACCAAAGAACAAGATAACATCTGGCAGTACGGAGCCATCAGGAATGTGCCATCTGCTGATTGATTCAGCAACAGCATGGTGAAGCAATTCCCACAGACTGGCATAGGAAGAAATTCCTATAAAAATGGACTCTAGAAAGTGAGAACTTTGGGGTCTGATTCTGCAAACCAACTTCCAGGAGCATCAGATGAGCATCTGCCAAGGCCCTGCTCCCTCCTCATGTCCAGGCCACCTGGCCAGTGGATTGGCATGAGCAACTGTAAGGCTGGTAACTATGATAACAACCTTGCAGAACCTCTGTGTGTGTGTGTGTGTGAATGAATGTGTGAAGAAATATGAAATTGAATGGAATGTTATAGCTATAACCAACTGCTTACTATGAGTCTTTTTGTATTCACAATAAATGTGGCATTTTGCCTTTTCCCCTTTAATAAGATCCTGCTGGATTTTATTTTAGTGGTATAACAGCTGGTACACCCCAAGCTTCCTAGTATTCCTGTAAGAATTTCACACAGTTCTGAAGAGCTCTCTATTGTCCCCTAGATTGGTTTGATATAGTGTGGTGCAAGAGCAGATACCGTTATATCAAACCACACATCTGTCAGGGATTTCACGTCATGCCTACCCGAAGAAGAGGAAAAGAAAGAGCAGATCTTAAAAGGAAGTGGATGGATGGCAGAAAGACAGTTGTAAAATGTACCCTGCAAGTGAGTCCAGCCTCACCACCCTGGTTCCAGAAAACGTGCACTTCCCCCCCTTCCACCCACCTACCAACTGGCAGCATCAGGATGGAAAACAGCAGGGAGAAGCAGCTCAGATGGCATGGGACAGCGTGTCCACAGGGGTCGATGAGGTAACTAATGGGAAGTCAGAGCAGGCAGCAGTGGCAAAAATGAGGGACCCAGCAGTAAAGGATGGGGTGAGCAGAAGTTGAGGCCTCTCAAGAAGGTTGTGGAGGAATCAGCAGAAGGGAGGAATCAGAGCACCTATTAGAAGGGGAAGGATGAAGAGCCCAGGAGTGATACTTGTCCTCTGTGTTCTAAGGTTTAAGAAGGGGACAGCTATGCTTGGCAGCCATCATGGAGGTGCAGTGGGGTCATCCCAGGTGAGCAGCATTACAGTGTCCCCCCTAAACACACCTTTGATTTGCTCCACTTCGTCTTCGAATGTTACCGAACTCCTCCGTCGATAGGGATAAACGCAATGCGGGTGATGAGCTCCATCTGAACTATAATCCTCAAGCAGCATCACATCTGTCCCTGAAATGCAGAAAATGTTGGAAATAATAACGACCCCTGAGAAGACAAACCTAAAATTATCAGAGGAAATGAACTTTTGAATTTATAGCCTTGAGCGCCTCTCTTCAAAAATTGCCTAAAATGTGCTGATGCATTATCATTCTGCATTCAACTGTGATGGGCTTTCAGACAGGGACAGGGCCAAGTTACTACCTGATCTTAATCAGAGGTTAATCTGAGGACAACTCCCTGCTTCTCCTGAGCAAGAGAAGGATTGTCTACAGATGGCATTATTCAACAACAGCTACTCCAAAATAAGGACAGGTTTCAGAGTAACAGCCGTGTTAGTCTGTATTCGCAAAAAGAAAAGGAGTACTTGTGGCACCTTAGAGACTAACCAACCCATTTGAGCATGAGCTTTCGTGAGCTACAGCTCATGCTCAAATGGGTTGGTTAGTCTCTAAGGTGCCACAAGTACTCCTTTTCTTTTTACTCCAAAATAACTATTTCTGAATAACGCCATAGATGGGCACACTTATTCTTCAAAAGTGGATCAAGCTAAATAGGCACCTGTCCACGTACGGAGTTCTTCTGGAATAGCTATTGCCTTTTACATTCACACTCTACCTGAATTAATTTTCAAGTGTGGACAAGCCCTTACAAACTGGCTACTTGGGAGACAGACGGTGGGGGATGCCTATTACAAGATCAGATTCCATATTCAGAATGGATGGCAAGCCAAGCTGGGGAATGTTCTGATCAGTCTATTTTGCTTTTGTTAACTCATTTTGTTTTCTTCTCACAAACATTATTCCTTAAGGAGAACACTTGGCTGACTGATCCTGTTTTTTTTTTCTGCTGAGTCATTCTACCACTTTATGGGTATTGATCTCATGAACATTATTTCATCTACCTGCGTTTCCTCCATATTATTTTGGTACAAAATAAAGTTTACCTGTCATTGTTTGCAGAACACTAAACTCAATGTCTCTGCCATGCTATCACATGAAGGGCCAAATTGTGGCCTGTCTCCTCACTCCAGTGCAGTTGTGGCTGAGTACAGACACTAAGAGTATGTCTACACCGCAATTAGACATCCAGGGCTGACCTGTGCCAGCTGACTCAGGATCACGGGGCTCGGTCTGAAGGCTGTGTAACTGCGCTATAGACATTTGGGCTTGGGCTGCAGCCTGACCTCTGGGACCGTCCCACCTCACAGGATTCTTGAGCCTGGGCTGGAGCCCAAATGTCCACCCTGCAATTAAAGAGCCCCTTAGCCCAAGCCCCACGAGCCACAGTCAGTTGGCCTGGGCCAGCCACGGATTTTTAATTGCAGTGTAGACATACCCTATGACAGTCAAAGAGGCATTCTGCCTCCCTAGCATAGAAGCAGACAGGCCGCCTCAGGGAGCACTAGGGGAGCGGGCTGTGTCAGTGCTTCTTACACCTGCTGCTGAAAGGCACAGCATGTGCTTCCCTGAATGCTTGTGACGCTTTACTTTTGGCCCAGATACTTTTGAACTCTGATGATGGATCGAAAGCTTCCTACAACAGCCATTCAATACTTTGTAGCTTGTCCCAAATGATTCATCGATCCGATTACACCCTCTGCAGACTAGGGCTTTGTGCCCTCTTCACCCACATGAGTTCATTTGATTCCTGGATTTATTCTTATCACAATAGCCAGAGGGTCCAGGACCAATTTATAGTAAAGGTGACAACACACATCCATGATGAATTCCATGAGACAAGACACTGACCTTTACCAACGATTTATTTAGCAAACCTATTTTTTTTAAACGAAGGATGGTCCAGAATTGAACTGTGATATATAAATATTTCTATTCCATCCTGTCAAATGCCTTCTCCAAATACTTAGTAATGAGAGAGTGAGCCACCTTCCTCATAGACCATATTAAATGAGTGGGATATTTTTAATGTTTTGTGGATCATCTGGGGTATTGAAGTCAGTGGTGCAAGATCAAAGCCCTACTCCTTGGAAACCCAGCCAGCCTGCAATGGATGGGTAGAATTAGGAAGAGGACACTCCAGTCCTTGAGACAATATTTTAGCATATATTTTAAAAACTACATTGAGTAAGGAAATTGGCCTGTAATTCTTCCCCAGAAGTGGATCCCTGTCTATAAGTGATGCTAAGATAGTGTTTTGACTGGATACGGCTGATCCTATATTATCTGCCTCATTAAATACTTGATCTGTAATGGGCATCCCTTGATCTTTTCTCTGTATACAGTTCCTTTGGCTTGTACTGTCTGAAAAGCCTGTCTTCTGTCATTCAGGATGTTCAGTGAGGTGGGATATTTCCCAATTCAAATTCCCTAAACACTGGGGCTCCTAACAACTTATATCTTTGCTTTGGTCAGCAGTGGAGGCCTCTTAGTGCCTTTCTTCAAGGATGATAACACAGGCTGCTATAAAGAGAAGAGTTTTCCATTACCCTTTATCACCTATAGCTGCACTTAAGCCAGCTATTCACCTACAGAATTAGCAGAGTAGTGTTGCCTTCATGAAAAATCCCACCTTGCCAGCCTCCTTCTCCCACTCTCCCAGTCAGAGGCAGGCAGAGAGCAATGCAGAGCTGCAGCTGTCAGAAGAGTGCTCTCTGGTGTTTGTAGAGCAGAAATACTCTTTAAAATAGATTGCAGAAGGAAGTTTTGGAAAACTTTCCTCTGTTGGTAGTTAAAACCAAAGCCCCCCTATTACCACCACTGGAAAATTACTGGCAGATCACCATGCCCTTTTCCAGGCTACTGCTCGAGAGATCCATGACAAAGATGGGAAGCTTCCATTCTATAAGAGAGGCTTTAGCATAGAGTGGCCAAATGAAATCTCCTGTAAGCAGGAAGTGAAGAGACCTATTTCCCCAGCAGTTTGCTGCTTAGCTCCCTGGGGGGCCGGGAAGATCACTGAAGGGGGAAGGAGAATAAAGGAATGGGACAAACAGATTATCTTGCTCCTTGGAAATATTCACTAGAGAAAGAAAATATTCTCCAAGGCTGGACAGTATTTTCATAGTAGATAGCACAAGATCAAAAATACAGAGGAGAAGCTAAGGTGGATCTGCTCAGGGTACCATAGGACAGTGGTTTTCAACCTTTTTTCATTTGCAAACCCCTAAAAAATGTCAAATGGCATTGCGGACCCCTTTGGAAATCTTTGACATGGTTTGTGGACCCCCAGGGGTCTGCGGACCACACGTTGAAAACCATTGCCATAGGAGATGCTTAATGTTATTGTTCACCTACCAAAAGATATCTGTACATAAATACAGACTGTCCACAGAATTCTGCAAGTAAGCTGCAAGTAAAATCTTTCTGTCTGAGAAAGGAAAACAATAGAGTTACCTGAATCCTGAGAGCAGCTGAAACCAGTGTCCCCTGTGCTGCTGCTGTGTCCTAAAGGCCGCCCACCTGCCATGAGAGCTGTGAGATGGGGAGATAGTCCCAGATCTGCAAAACAGTTTAATCATCACTGAGTTGTGCTCTGTATGGTAGATCTACTGTAATGATAACATCTTCAAATAACCCCCACATCCGAGTGCCTGATTCTACCCTGCAGCTTTCCCAACTTTCCCTTCTCCCCATTTTTCCTGTGACAAGACAACAAAAACCACCCTCCAGAGACCCAGCTGCCAAACTACCTGGATTTCCCATCTTGCAGTATCATGTCACCAGCTGCCACATGCTCCTGGATTCTTTTCACATGGCAAGCCTTCTGTCTACCTCCCCACAACAATTTGCAAGTATGTGCAGTTTATCAGGAGAGCTGATTATATATAGAAATATATGCACTCAGGGCTAGAAAAACTTATCAGACACCCTCTAGCCAAAGGATTAAATCTAGTAGCCAGAAGTAGCTATAAAAGACAAGTGTATTGATGGGATGATGACTAGTGAGGATCAGCTAATGAGCTAGTTTCCAGCTTCTTTGCAACCCTCAGATGCTAGAAAGGGGGAAAACACTGGGATTCTTACTAAGGCACAGTCTTAGGGTCCTGCTCAGGGGCTCCACCTTTTGTACCAGCCTCTGGCAAGTAGGAGTCTGATAAATTGGAAGCTGCCCAGCCGACTTTTGCAGCTGGAAGGAGAAAGAAGCTTTCTGTCTTTTCTTCCTCAGCTATGCTTCCACTCCTTCCAGAGCCTGTCTCTGAGAGCGACCTGGCTTCTGCAATGGGGATGCAGGTTTCCAATGCCCTCATCTTCCTTCCATGTTTTGCGTCCTCTTTCCCCACTAATAATTCCAGAGCCTGCCTCTACATTTAGCCCTCCCAAGCAGTACCATGAAAGTGAAAATTTCAAAGAGTGCTGAACTAGCAATCCTGAAAATGATCAGAATCTTACTAATTTCAAAGTGCTACAATGTGGCAAAGCTCTGAGCAGCAGCAGAGTTACTGGTGGTGCCCCTCTGCAGACTGAAGAAGACACTATTGTACTGGAATGGTTTAATTACATTTACAAGGTTTTCTTCACAACCAGAAGGACTAGAAACTTAATTTAAACAAACAAGCACTTAGATTTTTTTAAGTCACTAGAAAAAATTGCCACTGGTGAGACACACAGATTTTTTAACCCCTGTAAGTAGCTGACATATATCAGGACATTTAGTCCTAAGGAGTGGAGCGTTATTGCAGATGAGAAGGAGGTGATGGGCTTGCCCCAGCTGGAGAATTTAAAAGCTGGTGTCTAACATCCATAAACTCTTATTAGGCCTGGTCCAAAGCCCATTGAAATTAAAGGAAAGATTCCCATTGATTTTGACGGGCTTTGAATCAGGCTCATCATGAGGAGAGCCTTTTTCTAAGCTGAATACAAATCTTACACTTGCAGAGAGTAATAAAATCTGTGTATCAAAAGCATATTTTCCTACCTTGTTATACCAAGGCAAACATAACTGCTTGCCAGCAAAGATACAGATTGGTCTAACAGGCCTCCCACAACATAGAATACTTTTAACACTAAGAAGCACTTGGAATTAGAGAGTGGTCCTAGGAATCTGAAGGATTTTCTCTGAGATTTTTATACAAAACTATGTTGGCGAGGAATAGAGTATATTATTATTTACCACCAACACCTGACTTGGTGCTATACGCCATACAAAAATTAAAACAGTACCTGTCCCATACAGTTTACAATCTAAAAGGCAGACCAGAAAAAGGATGTGATGGACTGGGATATCTAGAGATGGAGATCTCAATTTTTGTGGGTTTTTTAAATTATAAACTTACTGCTTGTGAGCCTTGTGGAAGAAGTAGATTTTTAAAGGGACTATCGTTAACTTAAAACTTCCACCTCTGTCTGTAAATTTTTTACCTGATATTGTTACAAGGAACACCTAAGATTATGGTAATCAAATGATATTAGAGAAAAAATATTTTCTTTATATGTTTCCGTTTGTTCACTCCTTGCATCTGACAGCACTTTGCGTCTAGTCAGTTTCCCCTGCATGGTTGGTCAATTTCATACACTGCTTGCATTGACTTTTCATACAGCAGGTGGTGGTGTTTTTCCCCCTCTCTCATTCTCAAAAACAGACCATCATTTTAACTTTCCCAAATATTTTGACCTCAGGGATAGACCAGGCCTGGAAAAGTTTAGCCCAATAGGTAAAAGTCTGGGATGTTATAATCAACTGAATACATGGTCTTAGAATGGGAAGTTTGAAGCAATGTTAACTATAGCTATTGTTACAGCTTTAGCTAAAATGACAACCTTAGCAAGGAGAAAGGCAATACCACTTGGAAAACATTTTTATATTAAACTGGAAACATTTATACTTTGCTCCTGAAAAATATACTGGGTGTGATTCTCCATTCTGAGACACTGGTTTTACACCAGTAACTCCACTAAAGTCAACAGAGTTACACCACCACAAAACCAGGCAATGGAGTGGAGAATCAGACCCACTGAATATATTCATAGTATAAGAATGCTCAGATTTGGATAATTTGAAATAGTGTGTGCATATGTGTGTGTATAGAGGAGTCTCAGCAGGGGAGAAAGGAAATTATTTTTATTAGCCCCAGGGTTAAATCTTCTCTGCCAGGGAGAATTTAGCTGCATCAAGAAAGGGAGGTGAATTCCCATCAAAGGAAGGGAACTCATCACAACTTTCCTTCAGATGGGAGATGTAATTTGAAAAACGGTCCCTTGAGAGCTCCCTCAAATACATCGCTAGTTAGTATTTATACAGCCCTTGGAAGATGCCATATGAATGCAGATATTAAGTATCACCCATAAGGGAAGAGTGTTTGTTACCTGTGATCCTATTGGAAATGCTGAATAATCTGGCTGTCCTATGACGCTGAACAAATGACTCCCGGTAATACCGGTCCCCAAAACACATTCCTAATAGTTCTTTGCGCACTGTTTTGTTCCAGAGTCCATAAATCAGTGGATGGCAAATGGCACTTGAAAAAGATAACCATGTTGCTAATGTCTCCAGAGCAGGAGAAATGCTATTTTTCCCCCAAAGTGCTTCTGACGTAATTACTACCATGTAGGGCCCCCACGTGATCACAAAAGCACCAATGACAACCAAGATGGTTATGAAAGCTTTGCACTGATTGGCTGAGTAGACAACCCCTTGGAAAGCATTCCTTCGACTGCCTGAAGAGGAGGTGGAGGTGCTAGAGTTCTTTCTCCCATTCCTCTGAGCGTCCTCCTCTACAATGACCACGCTACCGCAGTGAATCTTGCGCGCTTTAATCCTAGCCACGCGAAATATGAATCCGTAGCAGATCATCATAACCAGGAAGGGCAGCAAAGCACACCAGATCAGCCAAAAGGCTGTGTAGCCTGCCTCCTTATGCCACGCAGCCACACACATCCATTTGAATTGATCGAACTCCAAGGAAGACCAGCCAAAGAGAGGAGGAAGACAGCCAATGAGGGAGTGTAGCCACACGTACACAAGGGCTACAACTGCTCTGTTTGCTGTAATCTTCATTGGATACACCATTGGATACAAGACAGCATAGTACCTGGGAAACACAAAAAGAGACATCAGTAGCATCATAGAAAAGTACAGTAAGCAAAGAACTGGGTTTACTGATTAAGATTCAACTCCCATTGGAGTCCAGGGAATGACTTCCCCATTTCTGCTCCCCAAACCTCAAATGGGGTTAGAGGGACACTTAAAAAAAAAATCATATTTCAAAAAATTTTTTGCGGACAAGAGCTCAAAAGTCAAGAAGTGCCCAAGATCAAGCCGCATATGCAGCCTTAATTCTGCCTACTGATCATAAAAACATGAGAATGGCGATAGTGGGTCAGACCAATGGTCCATCTAGCCCAGTATCCTGTCTTCCGACAGGGGTCAATACCAGATGCTTCAGAAAGAATTAATCCTGGTGTGAATGCATTATTGTAATGAGGTTTACAATTATACATGATTACATACAGCTATGTTATTATATGCTATGTTATTATAGCATCAATTGCTATGTTATTATAGCATCAATTGATTTTAACAATCTTGCATGTGCAGCATCTTGAAATATTAATTTAATTATTTTCTATCTTTCTATTTCATGATTTTACATGTAATTGCAGGGGAAATGTATTATATTGGGGAAGCAGTGTTGTCTGCTGGATAGTGCACTAGACAGAGACTGAGGGGACCGAGGTTTAGCTCTGCCACTGGCCTACTAGATAACCTTGGGTATGTCACTTCACCTCTCTGTGCATCAGTTTCCCAATCTATAAAATGGGAATAATGATACTGAGCTCTTTTGACTTCCTCCTGTGCTTTGAGATCTTCTGATGAAAAGTGCTACACAAGAGCTAGGTATTATTAATCACTATAATTGCAGTGGTTTCCAACCTTTTCCATACCATACCCCATGTTACAACAGAAAAAAGGTCTGGAACCCCGCACCATCCATCTAGCCCAAAAGAAAGGGAGGGAGATCATGACTCCCAGGTTGAGAACCCATGTTATATTGTATTGTTTGAAAAACAGTATGTAATTTTGTTCATGCAACCTTAACTCTGACTTTTCATTGCTTTACCCATGGAACCTTCACAGTCTCTTACCAAAACTTTTTAGATTGATAGATTTATAGATTCCAAGGCCAGAAGGCCTGTGTTCGGCTAATCCGGCCCCCTCTAGAACTTCCCCCAAATGAATTCCTAGAGCAGATCTTTTAGAAAAAACAGGCAGTCTTGATTTAAAAATAGTCAGTGATGGAGAATCCACCACAACCCTTGGTAAGTTGTTCCGATGGTTAATTACTCTTACCGTTCAAATTTTACACTTTATTTCCAGCCTGAATTTGTCTAGCTTCAACTTTCAGTCATTGGATCATGTTATACCTTTCTCTGCTAGATTGAAGAGCCCATTATTAAATACATGTTCCCCAGGTAGATCCTTATAGACTGTAATCAAATCACCCCTTAACCTTCTCTTTGTTAAACCAAACAGATTGAGCTCTTTGACCATGTTTTCTAATCCTTTAATTATTCTTGTGCTCTTCTCTGAACCCTCTCCAATTTATCAACAACCTTCCTGAATTGTGGGCACCAGAGCTGGACACAGTATTCCACAGGGGTCACACCGGTGCCAAATACTGAGGTAAAACAACCTCTCTACTCCTACTTGAGATTTCCATGTATGCATTGAAGGATTATATTAGCCCTTCTGGCCACTGCATTGCCCTGGGAGCTCACATTCAGCAGATTTCCCATCACAACTCCCAATCTTTTTCAAAGGAACTGCTTCACAGGATCAAGTCCCCCATCCTATAAGTATGGCCTAGATTCTTTGTTCCTAGATGTATGCATTTACATTTAGATGTATTAAACCACATATTGTTTGTTTGTGCCCAGTTTGGAATTAATCACTGCTATTCATAACAAAAAGAGGAGCTTACCTATCTATAGCAATGAGACCAAGAGTTAGCATGCTGGCCGAGCTGATCAGCATATAAAGCAGGGCAGAAAAGTTGCACCAAACTACTCCAAAGATCCATTCCCGCCTGATGGAGCTGGTGACGACAAAAGGAAGCACCAGGACAGACAGAAGGAAGTTGGACAGTGTCAGACTGAACACAAACTTGTTGCTCAGCGTAAGGAGGTAAGACTTCCGATAGAGGGTGACGACAATCACCAAGTTGCCCAAGCAGATGAAAATAGCAATGACGATAATAGCAATCGACTCGGTGACTCTGACTGCCCCGTCTTCCTGTGCTGTGAGGTTTCTCAGGCCCTTCCCATTGCTGAAGGAGGAGTTGATGCTCATTGTCAGAGCACACATTGACAGAGCAGACAGTACATGCTGGGCAGCTGGAACAAGGAGAAGAAAAAACACATGAAAACATTCACCCAAACAATATTGTATTTTCCATGTCTACAATATCTTTTATTCCAGGATCCCAAGGTCCTTTACCAACATTAATCAAGCTTCACAACACCCACAGGAGGCACATACCATTTTAGCTGGGGAAACTGAGGCCCAGAGTAGGGACTTGACTTTCCCGAGGTCACACACAAGTCAATGGCAGAGCCAAGCACAGAACCCAAGAACGAGGCTGATTGGAAAATAGGGGGGAAATTTTGAAATTTTCATTTAATATTTTCCAGGAGTGGAAGGGGGCCATTATGTCAAACTTTTGACTAGCCCTACCCATGAGTTCTAACTCCCAGTCATCTATGCCAAAAAGCTTTTATGAAAAAAAACAATAATGGAGTTATAAATGGTCTTAGTTGATCTCTTTTTATACACGTTACAGTTTGTGGGTATTTTACTTTGGTCTGTGGAGCACTTGCTTGTGTTCCACAGAGAGCTGCTAGTCACATGACACAGGCTCCTCCTCATTTGCAGCTGCTAAATCACATTAAAAATACAGTAAAAGATTCTCTTAATATCACTTTTGCAATGACTGTGCTTGCCACAGGAATGTTCTTGTATTGTCAGTGAGCTGGGGGAGGTGGTCCTCTGTGTGACTGTCAATGGGAAATGTGTCCAAGAGGCAATTCCTTTATTAAGATCTCATCTACGGTATAAAAATGTTGGAGAGCCCTTGACCTAAGGCTTTATCACTTCTCTCAGCTGACCAACACCATCTCCCCCTGAGGCCCCAGAAATATTGCTCCTGGTTCCCCTGAGAGCCACTGTGACCTCCCCTTAATGTCTCCAGCAGAGGAATTCCAGTGGGCCTGTACCAACTCCTCTGGGTGCCTGATTAGTGGCAGTTCCATAGCCGGCTGCCTCACAAGGCTGCTGACACCACCCTCTGGCCTCCAAAGTATCACTCCTGCTTAATCACCTTCCCCCGGCATGAGCATTGGTGCTCCCAGTATCAGAGCAGATTTTTCTCTCTCAACAGCCCTGGAAAGGGAATTGGATGAACCTAATGTGCAGCCTTCTCACTGCTGTGTCAGTGAAGCCACACACATACTGAATCCCAAAATCCAGACCAAGAATTGAAAAAATAAAAAGGGAATGTCAAAAAAGATTGGCTTTAAATTCATGCAAACTTGGTGTTAGCATTTCTTGGGGACTGGTGACTCGGAAGGGATGCCTTGGCTGGGATTCCGGCCATCCACCCTTCCCAGCTGGGCACAAATATCCACAAAGTGGATCTACATCTCTGAGGTAGTTAGAGTTTAAAGGGGTGCTGCCAGCCTAAAAATCATATTTTTCCAAACAAATTTCCTTCCATGTGTTCCTAAGAAAACCTTAATTTACTGACATTAAAATAATTTTTAAAAAATCGCATTTACTTTTCACTACCAGTGAAGCTGATTGTTTATGGTTTGCATTTCATTTGGCATAGACCATGAACATTTTGCATAAGATCCTGGCTGCTTATGGCTACAACTCTATGGGTATAAAGCAGCCAAAAGCTAGCTTCCCTGGCTACTCAGGAAGGATCTCTCCTATGTAGGAGGAGCCTCATGTGGCACTAGGGTGACCAGACAGCATATGTGAAAAATCAGGACAGGAGGTGGGGGGGGCAATAGGAGCCTATATAAGAAAAAGACCCAAAAAATCGGGACATCTGGTCATCCTAGGTGGCACAGAGACATGGATGTGGCTTGAGCAGGAGTGTCATGGCAACTCAGCAACCCTAGCTGCTGTAAGGGTCCCTTTGTGCTTTTGGCAGGCACAAATCAGAACAGCCCTCAGGCAGCACGAATTTATGCCAGAGTGCTGGAATGATGAAGAACAACTCCAGGATCTGAGAAGTCCAATGGTAGATTAAAGTCACCTTTGCATATTCTCTCTTCAGCTGTGCAGAGCACTCATCTGCCACAAACAACGATTTTATCCTTTCTTTTTTGTTTATTACAAAGACAAGGTGGGTGAGGTAACATCTTTTATTGGACCAACTTCTGATGGTGAGAGAGACAAGCTTTCGAGACACACAACCCACCTTTTGTTTCTCTAATATTCTGCGATCAACACAGCTATAACTACACGCATGCAACAACTATTGTTTATTGTCATTTTCACTTTCAGGTGCTCAAGCACTAGCACAATGCTGCAATGGTTGAGTTGCTAGCACTGTAAGAGGATGTTTAAAACCTAACAAAAATCCATTTTCACTAGTTTTAAATGCCACAAACCCCTAAACTGTTTTTAAAAATATACACCCTATATTGCTTGGTTCTAAACTATCCCAGAGAAATAAAATAACCATCCTTTTCAATGTAACCAGAACATTTAACTAACAAATTAAACATGCCGAAGAATTTTAATTTTTTAAAAGCTTTTTAAATATCATGATAGGATCCATCAATTAGTTTAAATCAATCCACTTGGAACACTCGGTGCTCACCATTCCACTGGCAGTCATATTCCTGGGCACATGCCCTCTGTGTGGTACATATACAAATCTTCCCTGCAAATTTTAAAACATCCAAAAGGCAAAAAAGCATCCCTCCTTTGACCCTCAACCAACAGAGAACAGAAACATGAGACCAGTCACCTAAGCAGTAACTGATGCACTGTGGGACAGTAGCAGGAGGACTATTCGCACTGTTAGAGCTAATATGCCATCACTTGCTATCCACACAGGCACTGCACTGATGGCAACTGGCTTGGGTGGTGGGGGTTGACAAGGTGGTTAGGTGTGGCAGAGCAAGCACAATCCAAAGTGTTGAGCAAATGCCTGTGCACCACAGGTAGCAACTGTGTGTGCAGATGCAAGGTCTGCCTGTTACAGGTGTACTGGAGGGGAGGCTCCAAATGCTGGTTATCACCCTAATTTCTCGAATGTAGACAAGGTCCCACTGAGCAGGCACAGAGTTGCATGCAGGTAAAGGCAAAACATCAAGGCAGGGTCCTGCAGATAATACATTTTCTCTTATTCCACCCCTGTGTAGCTAGAGCATGGACTGGGAAAAAAAAATCCCAGGGGAACACTATTGCTACTGCAGCAAGGGGCTGGGGGTGAGGGAGCATGGGGAGAGGAGTTCTTCTAATGCTTCAGGCTGCGGCTTCTGATGGGGCTTCTTCTCATAAACAAACTACAGAAACGCAACCTAGATGGAGCTACGATAAGATGGGTGCAAAACTGGTTGGAAAACCATTCCGAGAGAGTAGTTATCAGTGGTTCACAGTCATACTAGAGGGACATAACAAGTGAGGTCCCACAGGGATCAGTTCTGGGTCCGGTTCTGTTCAATATCTTCATCAATGATTTAGATAATGGCATAGAGAGTACACTTATAAAGTTTGCAGACGATACCAACGTGGGAGGGGTCACAAGTGCTTTGGAGGGTAGGATTAACATTCAAAATGATCTGGACAAACTGGAGAAACGGTCTGAAGTAAACAGGATGCAATTCAATACGGACAAATGCAAAGTACTCCATTTAAGAAGGAATAATCAGTTGCACACATACAAAATAGGAAACGACTGCCTAGGAAGGAGTATTGCGGAAAGGGATCTGGGGCATCATAGTGGACCACAAGCTAAATATGAGTCAAAAGTGTAACGCTGTTACAAAAAAAGAGAACATCATTCTGGGATGTATTAGCAGGAGTGTTGTAAGCAAGACCCGAGAAGTAATTCTTCTGCTCTACTCCGAGCAGATTAGGCCTCAACTGGAGTATTGTGTCCAGTTCTGGGCACCACATTTCAAGAAGGATGTGGACAAATTGGAAAGAATCCAGAGAAGAGAAACAAAAATGATTAAAGATCTAGAAAACATGACCTACGAGGGAAGTTTGAAAAAAAATTGGATTTGTTTAGTCTGGAGAAGAGGGGACATGATAACAGTTTTCAAGTACATAAAAGGTTGTTGGAAGGAGGAGGGAGACAAATTGTTCTTCTTAACTTCTGAGGCTAGGACAAGAAGCAATGGGCTTAAATTGCAGCAAGGGAGGTTTAGGTTGGACATCAGGAAAAACTTCCTGTCAGGGTGGCTAAGCACTGGAATAAATTGCCTAGGGAGGTTGTGGAGTCTCCATCATTTGAGATTTTTAAGAGGAGGTTAGACAAACACCTATCAGGGTTCTGATGAAGTGAGCTGTAGCTCACGAAAGCTCATGCTCAAATAAATTGGTTAGTCTCTAAGGTGCCACAAGTACTCCTTTTCTTTTTGCGAATACAGACTAACACGGCTGTTCCTCTGAAACCTATCAGGGAGGGTCTAGATAATACTTAGTCCTGCCTTGAGTGCAGGGGACTGGACTAGATGACTTCTGGAGGTCTCTTCCAGTCCTATGAGTCTATGGAGCAAAGGGGAGATGGGAACTTGTGTAATGCTGCAGGGGAGTGGAGCCCAGGTGGGAACGCAGGGCAGCTGCTGAGGTAACCCTGCAGGGTAGGTCTGAGCCCGGGCGCCGGGAGCAGAGGGGAACTGGGAAGCAGGGGAGCTCTGAGCCGCTCCCGCTGCAGGCCGATCACCCGGGAAGAATGGCATGCGGTGCCAGAGCAGCTGTGAGCCTCCTTGCACAGGCCCAGCGTCCCATCGGAATAACACTTCTTTCCTCTCCTTCGCCGGCTGCTCCAGTCCCCCGGCGTCCGAGTGAGACACAAGCTCAGCCCCGGCGCGGGCAGGTCCTGCGTGGCCCGAGCCTGCTGCAGCGAGCCCCGCTCCTGCCCCAGCTCCGCACTGAGACACCGGGGCAGCGGAAATCGCAGCGCCTGTCGCGGGCCCAGCGGCCCCGATCGGGGACTGGGCAGCTCGCAGGGCTCGCGAGAAGCAGGAGACGCCCGCCCGCCGGCCCGTCCTCAGCCGCTGCAGCCGCTGCAGCCGCTGGCTGGGGGCCCCCCTCCCCTGCAACCGGAGATGCAGCGCTCGGCTGCTCCTCTGCCCTGAAATCCAGCCTCCCTCCCGCCACGGGCTTGTCCCTCCTCCGCACACAAAGGCTGGCGCGGGAGGGAGAGTCCCGGGGAGGGGTGGGGCCGGGGAGGCCGCAGGGGCAGGGGGCCGCGAGACCCCACCCGGGGCCGGGAGAGCCCCGCAAAGGAGGCGCAGGACCCCCCGCCCGCAGCTGCATAAGCTCCAGTGAACAAACCGGAGCGCTCCCCCCTTGGTGTGGGGCTGGGGGACACACTCACCGTCGGGCCGGGCCCAGCCGAGCCGCTTCCTCCTTCCCCCGCCGCCTCCGCTGCGCTCAGGGGCGGGAGGTTTCGGGTTACAGCGCCCCGGACCCCCCACAGCCGCCGCCAAAAGAGAGGCCCGGAGCAACTGCCCGACCCTCCTCCCTCCATCCCCCTTCCACACATCCCTCCTCCTCCCTCCAGCCCCCTTTCCTCCTCCCTCCACCCCTCACATGCCTCCTGCCTTCATCCCCCTTTTCTCCTCCCTCCATCCTCCTTCCACACATACCTCCTCCTAACCTGCTCCCTCCATCCCCCTTTCCTCCTCCCTACCTCCTTTCTCCATCCCTTCTCCCCTCCTCCCTCTATGCCCCTTCCACACATCCCTCTTCCTCCCTCTATCCCCGCTTTCCTCCTTCCCCCTTCCTCCTCTGTGTAGCCTAGTCCCTCTATGTCCACTTTCACATCCCTCCTCCTAACCTTCTCCTTCTATCCTCCTTTCCATATCTCTCCTCCTCCTAATCTCCACTATCCATTTCCCTTTCACATTTTTTCCATCCACCCTCCTTTCCACATCCTTCTTTTTCCATCCCCTCCATCCATCTCCTTCCATCCCCTTTCTGTTCTATCCCCCCTTCCAGATCTTCTCCTCCCCATCCTGTTTTCCACTTCGTCCTTCCTCCATTCCTTTCTTTTTTCAGAGTAATAGCCGTGTTAGTCTGTATCAGCAAAAAGAATGAGGAGTACTTGTGGCACCTTAGAGACTAACAAATTTATTAGAGCATAAGCTTTCGTGGGCTACAACCTGAAGCAAATACTCACCAGCAACCACACACCAAAAACACTAACCCAGGAACCTGTCCTTGCAAGAAAGCCCGATGCCAACTCTGTCCACATATTTATTCAAGTGACACCATTATAGGACCTAATCACATTAGCCACGCCATCAGGGGCTCATTCACCTGCACATCTACCAATGTGATATATGCCATCATGTGCCAGCAATGCCCCTCTGCCATGTACGCTGGCCAAACCGGACAGTCTCTATGCAAAAGAATAAATGGACACAAATCTGACATCAGGAATCATAACATTCAAAACCGGTAGGAGAACACTTCAACCTCTCTGGCCACTCTAAAAGATTTAAGGGTGGCAATTTTGCAACAGAAAAGCTTCAAAAACAGACTCCAACCAGAAACTGCTGAGCTTGAATTGATATGCAAACTAGATACCATTAATTTGGGTTTGAATAGAGACTGGGAGTGGCTGGGTCATTACACATATTGAATCTATTTCCGCATGTTAAGTATCCTCACATCTTCTTGTCAACTGTCTAAATGGGCCATCTTGATTATCACTACAAAAGTTTTTTTCTCCTGCTGATAATAGCTCATCTTAACTAATTAGCCTCTCACAGTTTGTATGGTAACTTCCAACTTATCTGATTATATATATATATATATATATATATGTTCCATTCTATGCATCCAATGAAATGGGCTGTAGCCGATGAAAGCTTATGCTCTAATAAATTTGTTAGTCTCTAACATTCCTTTCTTCTCTCCCTTCTCTTTCCCACCTTCCCTTCTCTCCTCTATCACTTTCCAATTCTCTTCCCATATTTCTTCAATCAGCCATCCCCCTTTTCACTTTCTTTCTGGACAGGTATCTTTTCTTTCCACCTCCCCATCTGCCACAACCTCTTCCCTCCTATTCCTTTGACCCACTGTGTACCCTCTCACCTTCTCTGCTATTCTTTTCTCCCTGCCCCTCTTCATACTCACCAGACCAAATTCAGAGGTGATATGTAACTTAGATTCCATTACACTAATTTAGACTCCTGTAGACATTGGTATATGTAACTTTACGTGTGTGGGGGAGGGAGGGAGGGGGTATCTACATGAGCATAAAGAATCTAATATACGTTACCTCTGCATTTGGCCTTCAGGCTCAGATGAGGCATAGAACAGCGAAGGCATTTGACCAAAATCACACAATAAGTCAGTAGCAGAGGCAGGAATAGAACCCAGACATCCTGACTCCTCATCCCTTAAACTTAAAGCATCATGGGCCATGGCAAATCTCAAAGGGACAGCCTCGTTACAAATTAAGAACCACCTGGGTCAATCTGTGGCTAGGTCTTTAAGGTGCTCTGGCTAGATGTTCAGTTTGTCCATCATCACTGGCAATCTTATTGCACCACCAAAACTTTTCACACCTAAGTGATCATTAGCAGTGTAGGGGCATTCCTTGGTATACATGCTTCAGAATTCATTGGTCTTCCATTCTAATAATATATCCATGCCAAGAAAGCTGCCAAAATTGAACAAGTGCTGATCTAGCATTTTAGAAAATTGCACATGCCTTTCCATTGCAATGTATTTACATCACAAAGTATTTACTTCATAATGTATTGTAAATGCATAATGCAGTGATCATTGTTCCTAAACAAAATACATATTTATATTATCACCACTTTAAGAAAATTGGGCTCTGGGGATTGTATCGTGTGTGCAGGTTTGTTGTCTTGCGACTAAAAGGGTGGGACTGAGACAACATTAGAGGGTTTGATTGTTCAGCAGCTGAAGAGCTGCATTAAACTGCAGACCAATCAGAACCCTGATATCAGCAAAAAGAGTAATTTATAATTTAACAGTCAGATGCACAGGCAGGGGTGGTGCTGGGGAAGGGACTTGTGGGGGCTAGAGCCACCCCAAAATTTGCTTTAGCCTCCCCCCCCGCCAACCATGCCTCCCAGTGCAAAGGTCAAACATTAGGCAGAAGTAAGGGTGGCATGGTATGGCATTGCCGCCCTTACTTCTGCAGTTTTATGCTGCCGCTGCCAGCTGCCAAGCTCCAAAGACAGTGCTGCCACCGGCAGCAGCACAGAAGCAAGGCTGGCAATCAGGTGCTAAGTCTGCTGTGAAAAGTGACATTGACAAAGTTTCTTCATTGCCCCCAAGTATTAAACATAAACTATTTTTAAAAATAACCTTTCTGTTTATAACAATAATTCAATTAAAATGTGTTTTAGTCTTAATTTAAAAGTGGTGGAAAAGATAAATTGCTTTTATCTTTTACAGTGGGGTTATAAATTTAACATTTAAAATGTGTTAAATATAGGAAATGTGTTTTTTTAATGTGGGGGGGGAGGTCACACTTAGAAGCTTGCTGTAAGAAAGGGGTTGCCAATACAAAAAGTTTGAGAGCCACTGAATTACAGCAATCCTGCAGGCTGCTCTTACATACTACAGCCTTATGAAACTATTAGCTGATCCGCAGTTTAGAACAGATAGAGCTCTTTGCACTTGGCCACTGCCCCTCTCCCCAAGATGCACTCTCACCTGTCTCATCCTTACACTATAGTTTGTATGGAAGGGCACATAAAGCTATGCAAGCTCTATGCTTCCCTTGTGCTGGGGAATTCTCCAGACAATTCTGGCCCATTTGTGCTACAGAGCAGCCTAGAGTGACCCAGCATCTAATCATCTCATTTTATTCAGTTGATGGTCTAACATTTTCATCTAATTTTACCAGTCCTATCAATCAATATCTTGACACTGCATATTTTAGGCTCACTACACTATCATAAATATTTTGCTCAACCTTCCAAACAATGTCAGCTTGGGACAGAGTCCAAGTGCTAGATTCTCTGCTGGTGAGATCCACGGAGTGCACGTGTGTGTGTGTGTGTGAGAGAGAGAGAGAGAGAGAGAAAGTGTTCAAACTGATTAAAGGTTAAATTTGGTTAAAGTTCCCTATGGGAATAGCTATACCAGCATAAGCACCTTTATACTGGTATAACTGCATCCACTCTAGGGGATGTGTATTGCTTAATCTATATTGGTATAATTATAGTTAAGGCTATGATTTTAGCGCAGAGGTCACAGTGTTCATGGTAACTGGGAACTTGAATCAAGTCAGTGACCCTGCAGCCATGGCTCCTGTCCCATGGGCCCGGGCCCGCCTCCCCACCCTGGGTTTGTGACATGGCCCATGTGATTGCAGCTGTTACAGCTCAGAGCAACTGCCCCTGTATTCCCCTCTGTGGAACAGCATGGGCACCTCCTCTAGGCTTCTGGCTCCCCAGCCTTTGTCTCTGTTAGATGGAGACATCCGTCTGTCTCCCTTCTGACTGGAGTATTTCCAGGCTGCACAGTCCTCTGACTATCCTGTGATATCCCCAGCAAAAGACAGGCTGCTTAAGCAGGCTTCTTTTGCCTTGTCTTCAGAGATAGGTAACAGTGTAATTGGCACAGTTCTAAGTTACCACACAGCTCTTTCTAAGGAAGCACATTTATTCTTAAGGTAAAAGCAATTCATGGAAAAAATATTAAAATAATAAAAGAACCTGTTTGCATGCTAATAAATTTACCAAAGATTACCCCAACTCCAACATGGGCTCTGGGAAATGAGCAACCCTTCAGACTCCCACACAGGAGTTTACAAGTTCATAACACCCTTTTGCCCAGAACAAAAACATTCATGAGTTTGTGAGGCACTCATTTATCCAGTTTGGGCCTTTGAAGAAACCATGAATAGGTAATCTGCCAGGCACAGCTTCAGAGGCGGGTCATTTACATTCCCACACCCAGGGCGTAAATTCTCAAAGATTATTTCCCAGAGCGCCCCTCCCCCATTTGGGGCTCCAGGCTTTAGCTCCACAGGTGGAGGGTGTGGGAGGTGCCGGGGCTCAGTCCTTCAGCCCCTGCAGTGCCTCCCGCGGGGCTGAAGACCTGAGCCCCAGCACATCCCACAAGGCTGAAGCCCTCAACCCCTGCGCATGCAGCAGGGCTGAAGCCTGAGCTAGGGTGCCTCCCGAAGGGGGAAAGCCCCAAGCCCTGGCACCTCCTGCGGGACTGAAGCCCTGGTGCATGCCACGGGGATGAAGCCCTGATGCCTCCCATGGGTCTGAAAATATTTACAGGAGCTCTGCTCTGGTGGGCTCCAGCTGAATTTAAGCCCTGCCCTCACCCCATGCATTTCCTAGGAAACCTGCTCAATTAATAATTTACACTGTTACAAAAATTTCTTTGAAGTTCCTAACCATGATAATCACGGTCCAGACACCGCAAGAGGGGAACACGGGGTTCCCAGCTGCTGGGTGACACAGTAGCTGCATGGAAAATGCTCAGCTCTGCACTCCT